CCGACCAACCCCAACCAACTCCACCAAAATCTGCGCAAACCAGCCACACATAACTAATCCCACGGCAATTTGTGCTCCACCCACTCCACTTCATCTTCACGGCTCTTCATACTCCGAATTATCCACATCTTTTCTTCACACCGATTATATGTATCCTTCTTCAAGTCAAGTTCTCTTTCTCCAGATTTCTACCCCAAATCTACATCTCTCTAAAATCCTACATGCCTCTCCTACTTCTTTTCTCATATTTTTCTCCCTAAATCTAACTATGCATAAATATCTCATACGATACTTATCTTTATCCCCCTCTTCTCTGTACACCCGCCTCTCCTATGTCTTTCTTAAACACCTATTTATATTTTTTTCCCACTTCTGTGTGGGTATCTTTCTCTTTGCAAAAATAAACTACATTAGTCAACAGGTAAGTTTGTTCATCAACCTACAACCTTTTTTTTTTTTTTTTTTCTTTTGAATCTCTTCAATCTCAAAATTTATGGATTTAATTCGATCCAATAAATTTCATCCGTTTTTTCTCAATTTTGTGTGATTTGTCGAAATGGGATATGATGAATGTGTTAATGTTTATATATCTGGAGTTTTCCAGAGGTTTGGTCAGTTTTTTATTTTTCTCCATTCTAAAAAAAATAGGGGCAGAGAGTTCCACTACGTTAGATATCATCTCTATTCGTCGAGTGTAATTTAGATTCAATATTTTTTTAACATTTTTTGTGTGTTCTTTATCAGAATACTATTCCTTTTTATAATATTTTTTGCCGGATTAATGTACAATTCCTCTTTCTTTGTCTGATTCTTCCAAAGTATTAGATTAATTCCTATATATATATATATATATATATATATATATATATATATATATATATATATTGTTTGTGTTCTTTATAATAATTCTTTTTATAATAATTTAATTTTTTTTGTAATCTTATTAATAAAAGTAAGGTTGCTCTTATAAGTAAAATGCTATGAAATTTTTCCTGCTCATTTGATAGTTATAAATTATAATTGTCATTTAATTAATTAATTAATTATATTGTTTTATTATATTTATTATAATCAACTATAATAAGATTATATTTATTATTATCAAGTATAATAAGTCTCTCTAGACTTTATGGCCCCAAATCTACGTATATTTTCTTATTATAATTATCATTTTACCTAATATTAATTTGATGGAAAAATTATTTAATTGTTTAGATAAACATTTGGTTCTTATTTTATTAATAAAAATAATCTTTTTCCCACTAAAATTGTTGTTTTACTTAATATTAATTTGATGGGAAAATTATTTATTTTTTTAGAAGGACATTTGGTTCTTACCGCTCATTTGATAGTTATAAATTATAATTGTCATTTATTTAATTAATTAATTTTATTGTTATACTATATTAAGTATCCAGACTATTTCGCCCCAAATTTACGTATTTTTTCCCACCAAAATTGTCATTTTTACTTAATATTAATTTGATAGAAAAATTATTTAATTGTTTAGAAAAATATTTGGTTCTTATCTTATTAATAAAAGTAAAGTTCCTCCTGATAAACTCTTAAGATTTAATGGCATCATTGATTTACAGTAAGGCCTATTATGAGTGATAAAGAAGAATATTCGTGAAACTTCAACATTAACTGAGATAAGATAAATATACAGCCATATTACATAAAAAAGATAAAGTTAAATTAATAAATATGGCAAAAAAAAGTTCATGGATGGGGGATTATCATGAATATATATAGCAAAATATCAAAATGAATTGAAACTTCAATTTTGTCGTTTAAATTGAACTTTACTTTGTATTAATTTTACTTCAATCCCGTGCATCGCACGGGCCAAAAATCTAGTATACATTAAATTAGGGGTTTACTATTTATAGTGCAATTTTTTCCAGTTACAGTGCAATATAATTCATTTGTCAAGAAATCCTTTAATTTTTTTCTAAATTCTCTCAACCTCAGAATTTTTAAACTATCCAAATCGTCAAATTTTTCCGATAATATGAATTAGAACACTAATTATCAATACGGAAGAAACCTACTTCGATTTTTATGAAAAAAAGGCATTTCGTGTTATATTGCACGAAATGTAGTGTTTCATTTCGTGCAATACTACACGAAATGCATAAAAAACATAAATTTATGGTTTCGTATATCGTAAAAAAACACTATTTCGTGCTTCTTTGCACGAAATCCATTTTGTGTTAGGGAATACGAAATGTTCATGCACGAAGTATAGTTGGGAAAGGGTGTGAGAGAATTGTGGTTTTTTTCTTTGAAAATTACAAATAAAATAAAGTCGCACTGCAAAGCGGTAAAATATGTTCTATGAATAGCATTTCAGTTAAATTATTATCTATCTAATTGGACACCTTTCCTCATAAAGCAAAGGGCTTACTATTCATAGTGCAATTTTTTCCAGTTACAGTGCGAAATAATTCATTTGTCAAGAATTCATTTAACTTTTTTCCAAATTCTCTCAACTTCCGAATTTTTAAACTTTTCAAATCGTCAATTTTTTCCGATAATATCAATTAGAACACAATAATTATCAATACGAAAGAAACCTACTTCGATTTTGACATAAAAAACGTATTTTTTTTTATCGAATTTGACATTTTTTATGCATTTCGTGTTGTATTGCACAAAATGAAACACTGCATTTCGTGCAATATAACACGAAAAGCCTTTTTTTTCATAAATTTGTTTTATTTCGTGTAAATTTATACGAAATGCAAACTTGTATTTCGTGTAAATTTAAACAAAATAAAACCAATTAATGAAAAAAGAAGGCATTTCGTGTTATATTGCACAAAATGCAGTATTTCATTTCGTGCAATACAACACGAAATGCATAAAAAACATAAATTTATGGTTTCGTGTATCGTAGAAAACACTATTTCGTGCTTCTTTGCACGGAATGCCTTCATGCATTTCGTGTTAGGGAATACGAAATGTTCATGCACGAAATATAGTTGGGAAAGGGTTTGAGAGGATTGTGGTTTTTTACTTTAAAATTACAAATGAAATAAAGTCGCACTGCAAGGTGGTAAAATATGTTTTATGAATAGCATTTCAGTAAAGCAATAATAATAATATAGGTGGCATCCGCCCACGGAAGACGACAAAAATAAAAGCGACAACCCCCAAATTTCATAAGCGTATCGAATTGGGGACACACAAAATCACTCTTTTTTTGTTTTTTTTTTAATTATCAAAAAAAAAAAATCACTCTTTGTTAGGGGAAAAAGTTTATTATAATACCATGAAATTAAATTGGTTAAAATTTAAATTACTTATCTGAATTATACACCAACATATAAAATAATTATTTGAACTTCAAAATGCATTAAAATAGTCCACCCGTTTAGAATCCGTCAACCTATACTGACGTGGGCCTTTGACTTTTGCATTTATAATCACTTTTACAATTTTTGCATTTGATTTTTGAAATTATATTTTTGAGAATTTTTTTGCTAATCGCCCCATATGTTTACTTGAGATGGATAAAAGAAATGAATTTTTTTTAATTACGGTCCATCAATTGTGAAGCGATACTTTTTCGATTGTAGAATAGGTTTCCTCATTTCCATTTTCGAAATTCTAGTTTCTTAATTTTTTTTCTAAAAAAAATTGGAACGAAATTAATGACGCTAGTTTTTGATGATCGATCCAGTTCATTCGTTTAATGTTCAACAACCTACTTATGATACATAATGGGTGCTGTTTTTTGAGAAATTGGGGACCCTAGGCGAGTTTTAAGAATTTGTAACAATGACTCCCTATTTGTATTGTATAATGTACACATTAATTCATTAAGGAGAAAGACTAGACAAGAAATTTGATTAATAGTTAAGAATCTTGGGAAAAATATGAATAATATATCGACGAAATTAAGCTTAATCAAAAGTTTATGGGATTCAGGGCAGAACCCGAAGTTTTTTGAAAATAGTCATAGAAATATTATTGAACAAGTAATTTATGTAAATTTGTTTAAATATAATATAATAAAATATAGTATATATTTCAACTTGTCTAAACTCTTTGAAGTTAGAGCTAGAAAATATAGATAACTAAAAAATGCGAAGATTGTGGGGAAAAAAAAAAATTAAATCTTAAAATAGATAAAAATTTGCTAGAAGAACTCAATATCTAATTAAGTATAACTAATCTAAGACATTTCATTCCTATCAAATGCAAGAATAAGTGAAAATTTCCAACCAATACTTATACTATGTGAAATAATATAGTTATGGTTATTTAAATTGTTGAACTATTTATATATTTTAAATACCATCTAATACTATGACTAGTACATATAAAGAGTACAAAAACATTATTTGGGGCCCATAATTTATTCTAAAAATTGAGAGCCCAAGGCGACCAACTGTAATCAGAACCGGCCATGTACATAGCCATATTATTTTGTGGGCAAAATAAAAGAATACAAACAATGTCGCAATTTTGTACACATCAAATTTAGTTGTATGCAATTGATTTTTTTTTTATTTTTCTATTATGAAATTTGTTTATTTTGTATTTATTTTGAGTTAAATTAAATGGACATTAAAGTTTATACTTATTGTGTCATTTAAATTTGTTATTATATAAATATTATAAATAAATAAAAGCAAAAAACTAAAATGGAGACTTAAAAATTTGAGAAACAAAAAGAAATTATAAACCATAAAATTTACTTTATTTTTAAAAAATAAGTTGAATTGGTGTACATTTGGAAAATGTATTTAATACACCATTCTTGTAAACTATGTAAAAAATACACCATTCATGTAAAATTATTCTACTATTACACCATTTATGTAATTGACCCCGTTGTAGAAATTCAAATTAAAGAAGCTCGAAGGAAATTGTAGATTATTGCATAAACATCATATATATATATATATATATATATATATATATATATATATATATATATATATATATATATATATATATATATATATATATATATACACGCAAACGCGTACAGTCAATCAATTATGCATATACCATTGACAAATTATATATATTCATTATTCACACAGCAACACTACACATAGCAACGTTTTTCATTTCAAACAATGCTAAAAAGATTTATGAAATATCAGTGTGAAATTAATATATGTCGAATTAATTAGGTTCCCTTCTCTTTCTCAGCATATCTCAAAACCTCTTTAGCCATCGAAGAAAACGAACGGGCTGTGTCTTGCATCTCCGTCGTTTTCATGTTAATGCCCTGCTTGTTCGTCATATACATAAACAATATTATCTTAGTAATTTCGGTAACGAATCTCGTTTTTCACATTATATTAAAGATTGTAAAAAATGTAAGATAAAATCCACAATAACATAATACGAATACGAGAAGGATATAACAATACCTGCAATTTCTTCAAATTTTCACTTAGCTTGGCCTTTGCCGTATTCGCGACACCCGACTCCTGCATTTACGTCAACGTTATATAGCAAGGAATTCAATTTTTAAATATTATAAACGAAATCATTTTTTTATTCCATGATATGCTAAATTATCAATTGATGAACTAAAAATCCTATCCGATGCACACCCGAAACATAATAGTCGAGAAATGCATTGATTTTTCAGCTTCGATACCGAAAAATCGTTATATTAATTATTTTCTTTCTTTGAGAGGTGTCATTGAAATTAATTAAATAATAATTATTATTAATAGATAAAATCGGTTAATTGATGCACTTACGCCAGAAGTAGAGTATCCATATTTTTTCTTGATTTGATCAACGGCACCGGTTTTCTCCTCGTGTGGCTCGTCTGTTACCGGCACTTTATCATTCTTGACCTTGGCATTTTTAATCTTGCCTGTTAAATTTAAAATTAAAAAATATATATATAAAAAAAATAAAAATGTATACACTGATGAAAAATGGCGGGAAATATATTTCCATAAGATTTATGAATTTAATGGCGGGAAATAATAGCACCTTTTATTGCTTGAAATTTATTCGAAATGTTGAGTCTATTCAATCCTGCCATAGCCGAATATCCTACCCCCCGTTTCTCTTTCGGATCTTCAATGTCGATGTCGTCTTTCGGAACATAACCAACAATTAGTAAAAACGGAGTAATTCATACAAATACTTTTAAAAAAATCATTAAGAAATGCAATAAACCGAAAAATAAATACCGATATCCAAATCCACGTCATCCTCATTCCTAGTGCTCTTTTCCGACGTTTCACAATCAATTGGGAAGTTAACAGCCGAAAATATTGCCGATAATTCTTCCACACTTAGTTCATTTTCGACCTCAAGCCCGTTCCTCGATTTAATACTTTTATTGTCTTTCATCACAGAGCTGAATATACCCTGTCGGATAAAATCAGTCCGTTATTTAATTTCAATTTAAATATACATAATATCGAAATAGTTCGTAACAAAAATCTACTATCGAACCTTTTTCTTTTCTTTAGTGGATGGCGAATAAATCAGTCCTTGATCGCCGATTAGGTCTTTGTTAACAACTTGGGAAACAGTTTCAAGAAGTCTTTGATGGATTTAAATCAAATTCATTAAAAAAAAAAAAAAAAAAAAAAAAACTCGATTAATTACTTATACTAAAATTTTGGAGTAAGTATGAAAAAAAAAAATTAGATTGTATACGAGTACACCCTTATTACCGGTAAGCCTCGTTGTGGAGCAAAGTCGAGACAAAGAGTAATTCCTTGTCGGCATTGACCTGGTTTATCGCAAAAATATCAATTAATTGACTTTAATTTCTGAAGTATTTTTAGTAACATAAAAATTCGCGCACGTACTATAATGAGTTCACCGTCATTGGACGATGATACGATAATGTCCGACGGTCTGAAAGTTGAAGATGTGAGTAATCTTATTGAACTTTCTTTCACAAGGGATAATTCCGGCAGAGACCTGAAATATTAAAACATTAAACACAATTAAAACAATAGACACGTGTAAAATATAAATATAGAAATAGAGAAAATATCACCACCTTATCTCGATTTTGCCACTGGAAAATAGAAGTATTAGTCCGATATCGGGAGAGCCAAAAGTCGACGCCCAATAACAAGACGAAGTGAATTTCTTTTTGTGGACCACTTTTTTAACACCCTGCGTCGTAAAAAAAAACAGAACACACGACAAATTAGTTCGCCTTTTTACGGTATGTTATTATTTAATTGTGACACGTATATACCTACCTGGACCAAATGCGATAAGGAATAAACGTAAACGGCTTTTTCCGAACATAGCAATAGACATGTTTGCTTTTGTACGGAGTTGTCTGAATTTAAGCTGATGTCATTGCCATCTGTTGATATGTTAACAAAATTCGTAAAAAAAATAAATCAGGAAATTGAAGTAGTTTTGAGTTCGAATTTCAAAATTAAAAAAAAAAATGTTACTGACCCAAAATTCGTGTAAATAAAGCAGTCGAGGGTTTATTTGGACGGACTACAGCAGAGCTTAGTGAATTTCCGGTATCTTTGTCGAGTGCCGAAATAGATGAATCTTTCGTTGCGACAATTATAACATTCTTCTCGAAGCCATGGAAGCTGCATGTTTCGAAATGCATGGAGATAATTCCGGTGCACAATTCACTGGCAAAGTGTTTTTGGTACAAGATATTCGGACCCTCTGCATCGATTAACGACACCTGTGCGCAAAAATAAGTAGAAAATATATTTATTAATATGACAAATATCTTAACTTGTTATGTGGAACGAATGGATTAAATTTCCAAATCTTAACCGGTAATAATATTGAAACTCTTAAAATTTTAGAAGCGTGTAGCTTTCGTGCAGTGGCAAAATTGAATTTTAAGGTACTCTTTCTATTTTATATTATTTGCCGTTAAAGGTTTCGGCACAAGTATTAAGAAAACTAACAAAATATTGAAGTTTCGGAAAAAATGAACTTAATGGACTAAAATACCCTTTCTTATTATTTTTGTCTCTATTAATTTTCTCTCCATTAGTTAGGAGCACGACGGCAAAATTGAGAAAAAGGGTAAGTAAATACATTATGAAACGAAAACATTTTCTAGATCGACAGTTAATTTGAAATTCTAATAATAAAAGAAGAAGTATTGTAAAAACAAAACACGAAAGGGAAAAAAGCTTACATATCCTTTGTCAGACCCGACGGCAAGATGTTTGAGATTTTCAGTGGCGTTTATCGAGAGTACCGATCCGCTTACCTTCACCGATTTGATTTTACGAACAACGTGATTGCTTCCCTTCTTTGTACTCCCTGATAATTTCTTTACTATGATAAACGTAATCTTTCCGACAAACACAAACCATTATACACTAGATGAATTTTTTTTTACTACCTTGGAACGACAAAAACGAGGTTTGAGGGGCAAACGCCTCGGATTTCAACGTGTATATACGAACCTACGTAAAGCATTATTTACATATAATTATCTGCATCGCACATTTCGTAATCCCACGTATACATGTATCGAAATAACTGTTTGTTTTACCGTTCCGCTTTGATCTCCAGACACGAGAATGTGCGATTCGTAGCTAAAGAACAATGCCGTCAACGGTACGCCACTAACGGAAGTATCGTTGTCACTCTGCACCAAAATAAATAAATAAATAAAATCTGTAACACATCATTAAAATTGATAATTTCAATCCATTAATATTAAAATTAATTGTAAATCAGTTTCTAAATATTACCTGCTGAGTTATAGAAGCTAATAGAAGCAAAAGCGGACGAGACGCATCCCAAAAATTAACTGCCCCCGAACTATGCCCGGTTATAAACAGGTTAGCCGCTTTGGAAAACGGAACGAAAGCGGTTGAATTTGAGTTGCTTCCATCTTTTACTAATCTTTTTTCAAATGGAAAAAGCGGCAAACCGTATTTTTCCACCATATTGAATTCCTACACAATTAAAAAAAAAAAAAAAAAAAAAAAAATCCGTGTTATTATAATCTCAACCACTCAACATTATTACCACATACTTCTCGATGAACATGTGCTTACCTCATCCGAAGAAAACGGCGTACACGGAGTGCTTGTTATGAATTTAGTTACGGTGATGGTTGAATCACCATACGGTAGCTTTATCGTTTCCCCCTTTGGAAGTGAAGGCGAGGAGGACTTCGTTTGGCATTGTACGAGGTATCTTTCAATCGACGAATCATCGTAAGTGAAGACGTTATTCGACCTCCCAAGCAAAATAAGAGAATCACGTCTATGTTTGTCTTGTCCAATCGAGCTTGTCGTAATTTCCATGTCGATCAACGACTCAGAGAGATGGAGCCCCAATTTAATAGTTCGAGTTTCAGTTTGTTCGTTCAGCAAAACCACCTGCCACATTGCATTCATTCCAGCAAACTAATTTATAAAATAATAAATTAACTATTTTGAGAAGTGATGGGGGGCCACGGCCCCCTACAGCGAAAAAATTCAGTACCTGCAACAAGTTGGCAGAATGAGAGTCGGAGCAGCCTAAGACATAAAGTCGACTCGATTTTCCATCTGCATCGGCCCATTTTAGCTTTGCTATTGGAATTTTATCGGCTTTATATCCGAGGTTCAGCTTATAAATAGGAGTTGCTTGAAAATTTTGTTCGGGTTTAGATTCTGAAGGACAAGGAATATTCCAGAGGAATATATCCCCGTTACTATATCCGACAGCAACTTTAGTTCCATCGGGGCAAGCCCAACATGCTGATGTCACTTTCTTCGCTTCTTGATACATAGATTGCAAAGTCGTACCGCTCGAATTTGTACATATGACTTTGCTTTCTTCGATTGACCATAATGTAATAACTCCGTCTGAATACATAATAAGTACCCTGAACAAAAATAAAATATTATTTCTACGTAAAAAAAAAAAAAAAAAAAAAAAAAAAAAAAAACACGAGCCGAGCCATCATCGAAACTATTTAAACCTACATTTGATATAATTTTTTTTTCCGAGAATATAATTTGAAATAGTTGATGTAATGTTGCTAAAAATGTAAATATACATAATTATTTAAGTGATTATATACGAACGCATGCAAGAATCTACTTCGAAAAAAATTCCCGATTTCGTCGTTCCTATAGTACACATAATCATAAAAATTAATTCTAAATATTAGTCGACACTATTACGCGTAGATAAATTACCTTTTAGTTTCGGCTGTCGGTTGAGGTAATATAACTTTTGCTGCGATATCGCTTCCAACTTCGTTTATCTTCCCTGTAGCATTATTTCAAAAATTAATAAACATCTCTGGAAAATATAGTAAATAAATATTTATATATATATAAATCCCATTTTTACGAAAACTTTCTACCATGAGAGGCTGAAAACGGAATGCGATATTTCATTAGTTCAATACGGCATTGGTCTTGATGTAGCCTCAAGACCGATACATCTCCGCCAGAATCTCCGATGTACCTATTGATAACAAATATAATTTATTAATAAAATATTTATGCATATTAATTAATTTAAATTTGGAGCGAAATTACGGTTTAATACATGTAAGGTCCGGTGCGAATGGCTGCAAACGAGATGATTTCTCTTTCAAAGTGATGAATAGCAGACAAAAATTTCCTGTCTAAATCCCACACCTGCAAATGAATGTTGTAAGAAAATCAGTCATTATAAATTCGATCTCGATAATGATTAAAAAACGATTAAAAGTAAAACTTCTGCTGCATTAACTGTCAACGTAGACTTTCTTAGTGATGATAAATTGAATGATCAATATACAACTATAATTAAAATAAATGAAATAATTTAAATAACTTGCCTCAATATGGTTCTTGACATTTACATTTAGAAGAATGCCCTGGTTCTCAATAAACTGTCAACAAAAACTACCACTTCGTGTGAGTTAGCTAAAAATAAATAAAAAAATTAGATATATATATATATATATATATATATATATATATATATATATATATATATATATAAGTAAATGCGATAAGACATATGTGAAACTTACAAGCAAAAATTTGCTAGGAATTGTCTCAGAAGATTCGAGTAGAGCTTGTGAGCCATCTTTACCGAAAAGTTTGATTTGTCCATCTCTGAGTCGGGGTAAAAAAAAAACAGTTTTATCTCGTCAAATCTTACCGTGTGAAAAACAAAATCACAAACTAATTGAATAATTTCTTTCATAATACGAAATAATTCAAAGGGGTTGTACTTATATAGTCCTATAGTAAACTGATATGTTGAAATTAGCAATTAAAATGCTCCACAATCTATCAAGTGGTCATTGGATATATATATATATATATATATATATATATATATATATATATATATATATATATATATATATATATATATATATATATAATGTGTGTGTGTGTGTGTGTGTGTGTGCGCAGGAATTTGGAACGACTTTTAACAATTTATTTGATGAAAATCTGAAAGAGAAAAACTTACTTAGTTGAAATAGCAAGAATTTGTTGAATGGAATCGTATGCGAGAAGTATCGATCCTGATGGAATCCCGTAATGGAAAACTAAATAAGGGTGCAAATCTTCGGGTTTCAGGTTGTCTGAAAACCCTGCATGCTGCTACAACAATGTAACAAAGAGTTAATAGTTAAAACAATTTAATTTGCGAATATGGTAGACTTCGTAATAAAATTACACATATTATAGTCAATATGGTTTAACTCGTGTCGTACTTTTCCCATAGTATTATTCGTAATATAGACCGGATAACACAAAATCGAAAGTAGACAGCATCAATTATGTGCTTCGGCTAAGTTCCAAACAAGAAGATATGCACTTCTTATTATCGATTCTTCTTAAATTGGGATTTTATCCTACTTTATTTTCTCGTTTACGACATTTGATCAAGAGATTCTCCGTAGTTCTTTGTAACTTCAAGAACAGAGATGCTATATGCCCTGAATAATCTTGTGCATTTGAAACTTTCTTTTAGCTGTAGTTACATTTTTGTATGGTATGTATTAATTAATATGCCAGCTGGCTTCATCTTTTTGAACTATACCAAATTACCAATCTCCATGGATAACACATTAATTATAAACTTGAATGCAAGATATGGGTTCGATTTCTACATTGATGTTTACCATGAATTATGAGGATTTCCTACTCCTATTTAAATTTCGATTTCATCTTTCAAATCATATATCATAAGTTCACCATAAATACAAGATCCTTATAAATGCATAAATTAGTAAATCAAACAATAGGAAGATATTCGGGACAAATTTTGTTTGGCCGAGATCTTACAACCGATAATCGTCACAACAAGAAACTAAAACATCAAACATATATTTTTTTCTTAATTTTTTTTTTCTTTTTTTTAAAGAAAGATAGTTACTGGTTCCTCAATTTCCCTGACCAAACAGTGTTTTACCAAACAGTGCTTACCAACAGGCTACCTTATCTCAACTAAAACAGATTAAAGTCAAAGAACATGGAAAATTGAACACCAATTTCATATATATCACTATTTAAATGATAAAAACAAGAATTAGAAAAATCAAAAGACTAAAAAAAAAAAAAGAAAACATTACACATGAAAATCAATTAACAGAAAAATTAGCCCACAACCTAAAAACATGAAACAACCACTTAGCAACAAATTTTTTTCCAACAACTAAGAACTAAAAAAGACAATCAAAATTTGAAAGAAATGATTACCTTCTTCAAAGAAGCCTTTTCAACAAGTTTCTTCACAAACACAGACATATTCACATTCACAAACTATGAAAGAATATCGTCCGAGGTTGTTGTTTTTCGATTAGAAATTTGAACACCAATCAGTTCCAAGTTCAGTGAAAAGAGAGAATGGGTATATTAATTATTAATTATAGGGAAATGGGCTTTCTTTCCAGTGGAGTGAGAAGAGAGAAAGAGAAGAAATGAATATAATAATATAATATAATAAGGCAACGGTTGATTATTTTGATTTTTATTACAGGGGAGGGCAGTTTCTTTTTCTTTTTTTTCTTTCTTTGTTTGGTTGTTGGTTATATTAACTTATTTGGAGGAAAGAGGAGAGAAGGCCGGTCGGATCTTTTCAATGATGGGGACACGTGGAGCTTGACAACGTTTGATCCGTGGGTAGAGATTGGGAGAGAGAATTTAGTCTTTGACGGTGTGATCTATACATTTGTTTTTTGTCACCATCCAACGGTCTACAACACGACAAATATTATAATCCATTGCCACGTACTAGATGCAAATTATCTCTAAACCAGGGGTAATTAAGTCATTTCACGGTACACGACATGGCACTTTAGTTGGTCTTACGTGGTCAATGGTCATAATATATTACAATTTAATGAAAAAAACAATCATATTTATTTATTGGGAGTAATTGGCTAGATCCTCATAATTCAACTTATATAATTGGCTAGTCTTTTCTTGCTCATCGATAAATCTTCATTTGGCTTTCTCAACTCCTTTTTTTTTTTTTTTTTTTTTTTTTTTTTTTTTTTGAGACGTGTTATTTCCACTCTTAAACTATTTTATTTCACCACGAAATTAAATATATTTTTTTGTTTACCTCTTTCTTCTTTTTTCATCTATATATTTTTACAAATTTATAAATCATCCACCACCTCCCCCTCCCCCCCCCCCCCCCCAAACTATTTTTATTGGAATGTTTACCGCAAAATCTCACTCTCTCCACCTTAAGTGAATAATACTTTCATTCGAGAAAAACATTTTTGAAGGTAAAAAAGAGTAGGAATTCACGTTCTTGGAGAAATAAATTAAGAATGCTTGTATGGAAGGTTCTGAATTTCTTCCAAAATTGGCCAATTTGGCTTAATATAATTTCGTTTCCTAAAAAAATATTATATAATTTGTATTTCATCTTATATAGAAGTTTAAATATCTTGTAATAAATTTTTCATTGCAAAAAATTAAAAAAATAATAAATAATAAAAAATAAAATAGAAATAGAAATAACTTAGGCACATCAAGATTAAACGAATACAAGGAAGGTTGGTGGATTATAAACTTTAGAGGTATTTATGCCTTTATATAATTTCGTGGTGAACCGAGATACTTTGGAGGTGGAAACAATACCACTCTTTTTTTTATCATTTACACTGTACTTTTCTCCAAAATTCTTACTTAAAAGACAAATTCTAGTCACTTTAATGGTATAAAAATTGTTAAGAACTGCCCCCATTATTTCTTATTTAATGTCTGCTGACGATATAATTATCTATTGCAGATCCTCAAATTCAGATGCAATTGCTATGAAGAATATTTTGTCTAAATTCACCCTTTGGTTCAGTCAGATTGCTAATCTCAACAAAACTCTCATCTACATCGGCAGGAATACAAACCCTCAAAGAAAATCGGTGATAATCAATACTCTTTGCTTCAAGAAATGCAATCATATAGCCACTCATCTTGGCCTTCCTTTTTGCTAGCCTGTCTCAAGAAATAGTATTTTTCAAGAGCTCAAGAACAAATTATCCTCCAAATTAAGTGGATGGGAAGAAAATAACCTTTCATAAGTTGGTAGAGGAGTTCTCCTTAAAGTTGTTGCTCATGCCATTCCCATCTACTCCATGTCCATCTTTCTTATTCTAAAGAATATTTGCTCCCTGCCTGTAACCCCACTCTCCGTGGACCCCACCTCCAAAACCTTGACAGCACTCACCTCCTTTTCTTACCAATTTATTTGCTTATGTGCCCACCTCTTCTACAGACCCCAAATATGTTTTTCTTTGTTTGAACTCATGCCTTCACCATTTTCATCCAATTAATGTAGGTCAAATTACGGTTACCCATGTGGTAAGGTAAAATTACAAAAGCAACTCTCTTGTTTGCATAATTATAGTCACCCCTATATCTCTCAATTATGTAATGTTTTACGTATTTGTCCATCCTTAAAGTGTCAAATTGCCCTATTGGTGTTCACGTCGTTTATAGACCAACCGAATTGAACTAACGAAAATTCGGTACATGCCGATTACCAAATCAATAATTCGGTGCGATATTTCGTTTTTATTATTTTATTTATATGATTATATATATAATCTTTGTATTTAAACTAAAATTAATTTAAAAAAAATCAATTTTCAAATATTTTTAATAAAATTTCAGTTATTTACCGAATCGAATTCTAAACAGTATGAAATTTTTGCGTACCAAAAATTATTTACAATTTTTACCGATTACGCCTCTAAATTTCCCAATTGAATAGGAGGAATCGTCTCTCCACAAATAAATTTAAAGAAACTCAAATACACTTTGCTAGGGGTATAAATATTTTTTACAGGAAGACGGGGTAAGGTTTTGTAAGCAAATTGTTGAGGACGTACAAACTGTAAAACCAAAAGAAAAAATTCATAAAAAAGGAAATAAAATTTGTATAAAATCAGAAACATTATTGGATGAAACATTAAAAAACTTTGAGGCCAAAACCCACAAAACCTCATTTCGTCACCACCAATGTAATAAAAAAAATAAGAAGATGATACTAAAGCAAAAGGAAGCTCATAAGAAAGAGAAGACAGACTGTACAAAGTACGGAAAATTATTAGAAAAAACATGAAAAACTCTCAAATATAAACAAAGGACAGTGGTAATGGCGGACGAGTGTAGGAAGAAATTAAATTAATACAAAGAACAGTGGAAGCGTTCCAACCGAGAGTTGTGGTTGGTTGAGCAAGCGTTGCTTGTAAAATAAAATCGATCGAATCAATACCAATACATAAAAATTGGGAGAACTGGAGAAAAAGAAGAGGATGAGAAAGAAAATAGGACAAAGAGTATGAGAAAGAAAGTAGGATGAGTACCATGACTGAGATTGGGTTGGAGAAAAGGGGTGGGCACCGACAATTCTTGAGTAATCCAAGTCCGGATGTGATCGAAAAGGGGGAGAGGTCTGCAATTGGACGAAAAATGCGGTGGTAAGTGACGCTGGCAGCTAGGGTCGTGGCCTCGAACGAAGCGACGGAGGCAGCGGCAGAAGACCTGATTGAAGGCGGCAGCTGAGGGCGGCGGTCCGAGTCAGCAATTGTAGGCCCGTGCACCACCGTTCAACACCTGGATGCACACCGTTCAACACCTGGAGAGAAAATTACAGGGAAGAAGTCGTCGATTGCGGCGAAGGGCAGATTTTTTTAGATATGAGAAAATTCTGGTGGCGTTCAAACCAAAGTGGGAACTCAAAATGCTGGGACTCAATCTACCTTCCTAAATGAGCTAGTGGAATTGGATTTTGAATAATGGTTGATACGAACAAAGCTCTCATTGCCAAACTCTCCTCGAACCTTACCAATCCCTCAAACAAGCTTCGGATTACTCTCCTCTCTTCTAAATACATTATAACCTAAATCTTTATGTACCTTGATTCCACCCCTCATAATGCATCTTAGATCTAGATATGTAAAGATGTCATTAAATCCAAGAACCTTATCCTAAAAGGTGCATGTTACTTCATCCATTTCCAATCTAGTGTTCTAATCTGGAATGATCCATGGATCCCAACCCTTTGTGGTTCCTTTTGTTGCATGCCATCGAGAAAGAAGACATAGGCCGAAACGAGATTGATTCGTGATACCAAATGATGAGGGTGATATTAAGAAGAAACTCAAAGTAATGCAAAAATCAATTATACAAGTTGAAATAAGATGACATTGAGAGCTTATAATCTCACACTTTATTATTAGATAATTCCAATATTTCAGTCCCTATTTCTCCTTCCATACAACAAATTTATAGGCTAGCCATGTTACGATTATCAAGTACCATAAATACATAAATAAATATGAGTGTTGAAAAATAGAGACTCTAGAACCCTTCATGAACTTGGATGTTTGAAAGTTCCGGCTTGTTCATGAACTTGTAATTTGGAATATGAGAAGTTTCGTCTCCAGCACCACCAACCATAAATGAAGTTTGACTCATTACATCAATTAGATATTTTTTTTCATATTGTCTACAATGTGATTTGAAGTGATGTTTTGACATAAAATAGGCACAATGAATTTCAACGTTGGATTTATGTTACATGTGCCATCATATTCCTATTTCATAATACAAGTCTGCATATAGGGTCTGTTTGAATCCAACTAATTCGATTGAGAAGCAATTATAATCTATACCACATATTGTTAAAAATCACTCGAAGTCTAGTTTTTTTATAAGGTTTGCAAAACGAAAACCTGAGGAGGAAGTTATGATCATTTTTCTAAAGTCTGTCAACTGCACTCGGGAAAAATGACAATTTTGTATCTTTTGGTACTTTTGAATGTTTTACTTGTTTAAATAATCTATTTTCAAAGTAATAATATTTTTATGAGATAATACGGTCATGTTCTATGCATTGCATGAGTCAACGTCAAGTCTATATCTAATCTTTACAAGCGAGTGACTTAATCGCATCAAGTCTATATACCATTTATATATTATTTTTTTCTTAGGTAAATTGAATTGATTTATTCATGTCTTGTATTAGAATTTTTTTCCAATTCAATTTATTGTCTACAATGTGATTTGAAGTGATGTTTGAATAGGTACAATGGATTTCAACATTGGATTTGAGGAATCAACCACACATTTTGTCGGTAATGAAGGTATTCTCAGAGATAATAGCAATTGTGAAGATCACTCAATCATGGTTTCGATGGGTGAGGCAATTGAATTGGTTTTGATATAAAAAATATTGATGAAGATGTGGTCCGACAACTCATATTCGAGAGTATCGATGATGCTGAAAGTTTTTACTCATCCTATTTCAACTTAGTTGGTTTTGGAATTCAAAAACAAAGTGTGAAACGTAACTCCACCGACCTTGTAAAGTACAAGGAGTAGATTTGTACACGTGAGGGCTTTTGTAGACTGCTAAAAGATGATAATATTAGAAAATGAAGGGAGAAATCTCTAACTAGATGTGGTTGCAAAGCTGGCTAACGTGTCGCACATGATCGTTTTTCAGG